TTACAGTTCGGTTAACATCTACGATGTATGATTTATCCGTCGAGTGTTCTGTTTGTTCCATAAAGTGGTTTACAGTAAAAGGACTAAACCTGCTGGTCAAGGACACACGTTGAAAGGGAACGTATGAGGAGGAACATTCGGGTCGGAACCGGTTTGTTTATCCTCCTTTCGAAAGTGAGAAGACCGCACATAAATGAATGGAAGTATCTAGCAGATAGAAATCCGAAATCTGAGAACCAAAAGCCTAATAAGAATGATCACTGGCCTCGGGGATGAGATGGGCGAGACCGGGAGGAGAGAGGGGATGAAACCGCTGATGCGAGTTCAGAAGAATAAAAAACAAAACGGAAAGGGAGGAGAAGAGAGGAGATAACGATGATAAAACAACTGCACCTTGGAAGTTACGGTCGGTTTGCTGATCCGGCTGTCTGTGGAGGGCCGAGTATGTGCCGCAGCAGTACGGTCAGTTCTGCTATGCGGTGCAGAAACTGTTGGTGTTTGAACACCGCTGTCTACACAGTATTGCACGAATCTGGCGGGGCAACCGGACGAGCAATGCGTAGAGTTCTGGGTAACCGCGGTCGCCCACTGGAGCAAGTGATCGACCTCCATAGATTAAGTTGGTTGGGGCATGTGTTACGCACGTCACCAAATAGGCTGCCACGGCAAGCGATGTTTGCTGAAAAAATCCAAAGTTGGCCAAGCAAAAACCTGGCACGAAGGTAAACCCTGACCAGCGGACCGGGTCACATAGGTCTCATTAAGTTCCCCGGCTGGAGAAGTCGGGGATGATCGTACCCGAGGGTTATAGACACTGAGTAATATGGTTGAGTGTCGTAAACAGTGGAGTTCGTGCATATTCTCAATTTCTTTGCAACCTTAGCCCACTGAAATTCTATTTTCGCTTCGACTTTACATTCAACTTTCCTGTCTTTCTCCGACTGTACATCCAAACAGGCAGCAACGAAAACTAGCGCAAGGAAGTGAATGGTTGATGTGGCTGTTTAACCTGAAACTGATTGCAGTATCGTGGGTGGATGGGGAACTGCCTAGCACGGAATAAGAGATCGAATATGCATGTACTGCGAGATTTGGGTGCAAATATAAAAGGTCAGGGTATGACCGCCGTTGAACATCTCAGCACCTTGACGAAACAGGTGACAGTTGGGTAAATGATGGAAATCAAATGGGTGAAATGAGTCCTAGGGGAGACGACAGTCTACCAGCTGAGAGACGCAAATCCTATCAGAGATAACCCTTGCACCCGGGTTACAAAATTGTCGCAAAAGTACTCGATCAATCAGACAGATAACGCACAGGATGTATACACGAACCTTGATTTCACGTAACTGCAAGGCAGCACTTACCCTGTCCCGGTTTGATAGCGCGGGAGATGTTACGCAATCGTTGCAACTCGTTCTTTGCGCGACGTTCAGTACGCTCTTTGGTTAACTTTGCAAACTGGTCCTCGTACGGGTCTAGAATTGGCAAAACGTTTGGGGAATAAAACAAAACACCAATAAACAGAATACAGACCAGCATTTTCCGGGACTTCGATCACCCATTTGTCTTTCACACTATCCACACGATCTTTGCCCCAACGTGGACGCCACGATTTGGATTCGGGGTCCCAAATTTTGCGTGATTTTTTCTTGTTCTGTATCCCCTTCAATCGGGCAAACCGCTCCCATCGAGTCAGATTGCGTTGAGAGGGAATCTGAACGATTCAGTCAATAGATAATGTGGCACACTTACGCGTTTCTCACGAGGAAGTCGAAAAGTTGGTTTGGGAAGCTAGAAGAACAGAGAGAGAGAGGGGGGGGGAACAACGAGTTATTGTCAATGGCAAGAAAAGACTAAAGTGCGACAGATTTCAAAGTGCACCGCTTTAATCTTCAATGAATTGTCACGCTGTGGGTAGTAGTTTTTCATTCCGCAATGCATTCACATCTCCGACGTGTGTGCATGTAGAATTAAGTTGGATGTTCCCCGTGCACTAACATGATGGGTTCATTCCATGAGTTGAGGGTAGTAGGCTACCACAAACCTACGGTTAGCGAAGCTATACGTTCGCAAACGAGTCTTCAGACCACAAACAGAACAATATAGTTAACCATGAAACGGAGGGTCTCGTTTCCCTGCATAAGCAGTAACGGAAGATCAACAACGATACTGAGGCTTGGCCAGTGATCATAGTGCAACAAAAAGTCACAAAGATCTGTAGGAAGCATTTTGGCCTGGCTCCCCACTAAATAAAGTCACTGCCTTCACTCTGGTCGGTCAAATGTGGTTGTACAAGCCATTGAAGAACTTCAAGTGATTCTGAGGATGGTGCATAGTACTATTCCGCTTACTTTCTTGTGAATTTGTATCTCCAGAGCTTACTTATCTCACGTGAACCGAAACCTCGAGTGGGCAGCATGCTTGCGTTCTATCCATGAGGTCCCGGGTTCGATTCCCAGTTGGGTCGATGGATCCGCGCACTGCTGATATGAGACCCAACCAGATCGAAACAGCTATACAATGCTTCCTAGCTTTTCAGTTCACGCTTCATTTGCTATATGTACGACAAATTCTCATTTGAAACCTACTTATCCTCAAACAGGAGAAAGTTACATAAAGGTGGGAGTGAAGTTAATTCACTCAAATTTTGCTACATATTCATTTACAGTATTAATGACCAAATCACCAGCCACCCGTGACGTTTGTAGTACCAAAAACAATTTTTTCCAATGACGATGACTACGATCACAAGATAGTAGCTGTGATGAGGGGGGAGGGGCGGGGCGGGGAGGTTGAACCTAATCCCCAGTAGAACCCAATGAAGCAGTGTATAAGCCTGCCTCGCCTTTAGGAACTAACACCAAAGTGTATGCGTTGAGGATGATGACAGTGCAATCGTTTAGTCGCTGTCACCTGCATGCTTTGGACCATACAATATGAGGTTCAAGCCCCGCCACCACCACCAGACTTTGGTGGTAGACGGCTCTGCTGTCGTCCCAGCGGTTCGCCAGTCCAAGCTGCTTGTGTTTCCACTACCAAGCAGATCTTTGTGACCATGGGGTCCACCCGGTCTGCTGTGCATCACACACACATGTGTATAATAAACGATAATACTAGAAGTTCAAATTCACAATTGTTCTATCGCCAAATTTACACTCGAAGACTATTCGGATTGGTTTTGACAGTTTAAGTTACCGATGTCATATGGGCGGATAATACATCACACGAAATTAAACGCTCCTAAAAATAAAAAGGTGATCAATAACAGAAAACATTATTCGAGTTGTGGTTTGGTGCACAAAGTCTGCCATCAGATGATGTACCCAATGTCGTCCATTGGGGCAACCTGGAGAGAGAGAATCGATCTCACACCTTGGAACCATTTTCTGGAGACCGGATAGTCACATCCACGATGTGTGTTGACCCCCGTTCAGCGTAACACCGTGGAGACTTTGCGAAGGAAACAGGAGTCATATTGGAGAATGATCACACGAGGAGAGGAAACAATGAGTGCGTCTGTTCTGTATCTTGCCGCACTAATTATATATCCGGGTTAGGACGGTGGATGAACCTAAACCGAAGTGCCCGATTTCTTTTTATATAATTACATCCTTTGGTGTGATGAACAGCATACGGGGCGAACCGCATAGTCACGAGGACCTAATGATCAGTGATGGCCATTAGCAGCCTAAACCCTGGACTTCGTTGGAGTCGCGAACCACATAAGGCCCCTCTAGGGTAGGCGTACGGCGACGGAAAAGTTGCTTATCACCAAAGTTAGTTACATGGCAGTGGCAAGGCTCGAACCTCGGACCATAGGGTTCAGAGCACGCCGATGATTGTGCGACTAAACCACTACGTCACCACGACCCTGCTTGCTAAGTATAACAATTCATGTGCAGAACATCGGAGTGCCAATACGGCTTGTCTAAAGAAATTTGCACGAAGGTAGTGCAAAAAACGAGGTGAAGTGTGGAGTGCCGAAGTATCGTGGTTGTGTGCTAAAACACATGCGCGATTTTGCTATTTAACAATGGGATCGAGGGGAGTGTAATCCAACAGATGAAACACCGAACACCTTCAGTGGATCACGGACTAAAAAGATTGACCTTTAGTGGTGAACCACGTCTCAGTGCGATTCACAGACAGAAGTGATGTTTGATATACATAGCGGATAGCGTTAGTCAAGCGAAACTGCACGGTATCACGGTATCACAATCATTCGATCTGGATGGGAATCAAATTAATCCACGCCGGGAGCGAGGGGATACCTCATTGCTTTGAATTAGGCATAACCCTGCTTTCTGTGGAATCACACAGACTATGAAAATTATTCATAGTCAACTGACAACTGACATGACAAGAGTACAAACAGGAAACAGCCACGGAGGAGTAAGAGTAGAAATGATAAAATGAAGTAAACAAGAAATGCATCAATGCCAAGCGGCGGCGGCGGGCAAATACGATCACGTAAAATAAAGAATTGGAGCGAACCCGTAGATGTCAAAACCTTGTGTAAAGCATAGATTTACATTTAAAATCCTTTAAACTACATGCATAAGGATAGCACTCATCGACAAAATTAGGAGCAGAACTAAAATCACTGTCGACTGAATCAGACTCACCAAAGTCACTTTTACCGAGTCCGTAGATTCAGTCGGTTGCTAGGATTGATCAAAAGGTCGATTAATTTTTTTTTTAAACGCACAATACGTACCGACCAGAGGAGTTTGAAAAATTGCTGTGTACACTCATATGCTATGTCTCGTAGATGGTCGTCAATCCTGAAATCAGAGGTATGTCGATCCACAATTACAATTTCCTTAACACTTACGCCTCACTTTTCCTATCCACATCCAACGGGGTTTTGTCTTCGCAAAGCAAATTTCCCAAGTCGTATTCGGCCAACTGGATGCGATAGGATGCCATTCTCTGACGGTGTAAGAGCGCACTGAAAAAACAAACAAAATAGGTGTTAAATGTTGTGATTTTGTTATACTTTGGATCTGTATACCATGGCATCACCGTTTACTGATAATGCAGATTTTCTATCTACTGTAGCCGATGTAGCGACGTTGTTAGAAGATTAAAGCTTCGTTTGCAGCTTTCTGTTTGTTCTCTCTCATTCGTCGCTAAATCATTCGAGCTCATCACAATTTGATCTTCTAACAACGAGGGATCGCTTGTTTCACTTTCGAGCGATTTGATACCGATCCTCATTCTTCATTCGCTTCCGAACAGTGGCATGAAACATTCTGCAACTTCCATCGATCTACCCAACATAGATAAAAAAGTTCCTGATGAATTTCATATCGTCGTCCGTTTACCAACACAAACGATTATCCCGATTATGAAGATGCTATCAGAACCCCTGAGGGCTGCGTTAAACCAAAGAACGAAGTGTTCGCACGACATCTATTGGCAACAGTAGAAAAATAACAAAGACAAACGATTGATAAGTTACACAGAAACTCAGAGTTCTCGCAAATGATTGTAACTTCATTGCAGTTTCCACCGACAGACATCGCGATCAAACTATCCGTGATGCTTTCATTAGGGGGCTGCTTTCCAACAATATTCGCCAGCGGCTTCTTTAAAAGCAAACCCCAAGTTTACAGCCTTTTAATGAGGCTCACACTTTAGAGAGTGCACAGCAGCGGTCGCTCACTTACAATTCAGTCTTACATGTACCCTGCAGTTCCATGACTAATCAGACAGATTCCATCATTTCAATACAACGTCCTAGAGTTTCTGATTCACAACCAGAGATCAAAGACCTAGTAGCAGTGGTTTACCCTAAATGCCTTTTCTGCGGAAGTTATCGACATCGTCGTTTAAAATGTCCAGCTCGAGAAGCCACGTGTAATTCTTGTGGAAAGAAAGGGTAGTTCCAAAAGGTTTGTCGATCCAATTCCAACACTCTTTTCAGATGTACATTATCTGCGTTAAATCCAACCATCTCGTCCGTTGTTGCAAGATCATCATTTGTCGGTCTCTTCAATTCCACGGTAACGATTCAAGTCAATGGAATAACTTTGAATGCGCTAATCGACACAAGCAGTTGCGAGAGCTGTCTGTGCACCAACAATGCTGCTAGGCATTGATGGCCTGTAGAGTCATCCAACCACACCATATCAATAGCTTCCACCCATCTGTCCTGTGTTATCCAATGGCACGTGTACGCCTCTATTCAATATAAAAACACATTACAATAGGGTAAAACTTTCCTGCTTAAAGGTTTTATGCACAGACGTCATTATCGGTCCAGATTTTCTAGGCCAAATTCTGAATGTCAACATTCCCTTTAATGTCAATTGTCCACCTTTCTCTGTATGTACTCTTAATGCAGCAAAAGTGGACATTCCTCATTTGTTTAAAAATCTAGCGCCAAATTATGCACCAATCGATAAGAAATTGCGTCATCAATCAGTTTCCGATCACAAATCAAATATCAAATAACTATTGCTAAACAAGATCACAGAGCCTTCCACATCTCCTTTGCGGGCACAGGTTCTTGTAACAATCAACGAGAGACATAAACAACGGACAGTTATTGACTACAGCCCAACGATAAGCCATTTTATTTATATGGATGCTTATCCTCTGTCTAGTGGATGAACTAGTGGTTCAGTTCAGTTTGAGATTGAACAACCATTAACCACGCATATTCGAGCGCCGGTTTTGGTTGCTGTCTTTTGGCTGCCCATTTGGGTGAAGAATAGGAGAAAGGAAACTTGAAAGTGGAGTCGAAAAGAAAATGGCGAAGTTCAGTGGTCTAAGGTTGTAAAGAAATTGAGAAGATGCACGAACGCCACTGGTTACGCACTCAGTATCTCGAGCCATCGGTTACGATCATCCCGAGGTTCCCAGCCAGGGAGTACAGGACCTATGTGACCCAGTCTCCTGGTTAGAGTTTTCATACCCTCGTGCCAGGTCTTATCTTGACCACTTTGGGTTTTTTTCCACTCGGTGTCTGCTTCGGCGAACATCGCTCGATGTGGTAACGTATCTGGTGACATGCGTAATACGTCCCAACCAACGTAATCTATGGAGGCCTATCACTTGCACTAGTGGACGACCGCGGATACCCAAAACTCTGCGCCTAACCTCAGCTCATCCGGCTACCCAACCAGATTCGTGCAACGCTACGCAGACAGCGGTGTTCAAACACCGACAGTCTGTCTTTATCCTGTTTTCTTAATGGACAAGTTTCTGCACCGTAGAGCAGGACCGGCCGAACTGTCGCGGCATACACTCGACCCTTCACAGACAGCCGGATGTCGCGACGGCGCCACAGATGCAAATACCAACCGAGCCTTCTGTATGCGAGCTGACACTTCATCCGTGAAGCCTCCACCGGGTGAGATGTAGCTGCCCAAATAACAAAACTTATCCACCTGCTCTATTACTTCCCCAGTAAAAGTGAGTCTGGGTGCTGGACCAACCCAATCTTGTAGTAACATTTTACACTTTGAAGGTGCAAAAGTATACCGAATATGGCAACACTAGCACTCAAACTATCCAGAAAAGCTTGCAACTTACCTGTATCGTCACTTAGTAGCACAATGTCGTCTGCATACTCTAGATCAGACAGTCTGCCACCCGGAAGTAAATCGATACCGCTATCCTTGCACGAGGATAGGGCTGTTTCAAGAATTAAATCTATGATAAAGTTAAAAAGAAAAGGAGAGAGAGGGCAACCCTGTCGAACACCACTTTCCGAGGTGAACTCAGGTGAAAAAGCGCCGTAATCCCGGACTCGACTTCGGCAGGTATAGGCTCCAGCTAGTCTTGTACAAGCACTTTGCATTCGAACGGCGCAAAGCACACACAATATTTGTATACCTCGATCGGCAAGTGTTTTAAAGTGTGTTGGACTGCCTGTGTATTGTCAACCAGCAAAGCGATGTCATCGACATATTCTAAGTCAAGAACTCCATTCCCTGGAAGGATTTCAACTCCACCGTTTACTAGACCGGACAAAGCATCCTGTAGAACATTCTGCCTGACAAAGTTGGAAAGGAAAGGGGACATAGGGCAATCTTGTCGAACTCCACTGGAGACAGTGAAGGGTGGCGAAAGCTGGCCATCGGCCCTAACCGCACCTGAGGTATGACTAAACAACTTTTTGAGGAAGAATATATACTTCTCTGGTACTCCATACCTCAATAGAATTGTTTTGACACCCTTTACTTAGGCCCAGTCCCTCCCCATATTGTATTTAGTCACTTAAATTGTATACATTGTGAGCTTGGCAGCGGTCAGCGAAGTTTGCTTCAGTGTATTTTACTGTATAATGGTTTTAGCTAGTTTCGTCCGCTTAACTAAACGGCCTCGATGTTTTTTCTCGGATGGCCGACATCTACGACTGTGCACACCCTAGAAAACGCACGTTATTGTTTCTCCTCTTCAAAAAACGATTGATCTGCAGCTAAACATTCGATATTTTAACGACACTAACACTCGTAGCCGAACGTAACTGCTTTTCAACTAGCAGTTACGTTCCGCTACAAGTTTCCCGGTATTTTGTTCTTCACATTGACGTCCACTAATTGTAGAGTTCCATCGTTACCGAACAACGGTAATTTTACTTTGCTGTGGAGTGTCCCATCTTGGTATATGGATACACCCTTGTCATAACGTAAACTAGTTTCGAAGGCTCTTCTCCATTAATCTTCTATTAAAGAGGGCGTTGTGTAGTAACTGTTTTTACCGTTCGTCTACGAATTCTCTGATCCAATA